TGCGGCTGATACTAAAATTTTCTTATACTCTTTTATTATTAAATCTGGACCTAAATATAAATAAAAAAAAAACAAATTTTTCATATCAAAAAATACTGAAATAAGGCAACAATTTTATAATATATTTTGTACACAAAATTTAAAACTGAAATTTTTGTACGCCTATTTTATCGCTAATATGACGTCCAATAAACTATCGGAATTCGAATCGGAGTAACCATATAACCAAACAATAGTTTGATCAATTTATAAGTTAAGCGTTACGACTTGGTAGGTTTGCCTGTAGGCGGGCTGCGACGTGGCTGCGACGCATCGGAGATATAATTCCAATGCTCGGCAATTGGACCACTGGACTCAAAAACCGGATTATTGGATTTATAAATTTCCAATTGAAACTTATAAGTCCAATTAAAATTCAAATTATTGGACTTAAAAAGATGCTAACACTTTAATACTCTGTTTAATTAATTGGTTCGATAAAATTGCTAATTTTAGAAAATTGGTGATGAGATTACTTATTGGGGAAACAAGCAAGTGATACATAAAATTTTACAAGAACTTTTAAAATATTTTAAAAATAATAAAGAACGCGTACCTGGTCCCGGGACCAATTAATCCAATCGGTCCTAAAAAAAAAAAAAAAACTTATCTTTAAAGTTATTTTAAAATGGATTTACTGGAGATAAAATTCCGAATAATATGATGAAACAATCACAAAACGAAACTTTAATTACTTTAATTATAAAATCACATTCTTGATCATTGTTTTATCTTATGTCAATAATTTGTTCACTAATTATTAGTGTTTTATTGCGTACGCTAACACTATGTACAATATGTTGAATTAGCATATACAACTTATATGATACGCTTCGGAAATTTTTGTAAATATTCGGAACACTAAAAAAAATCATGCACATAATTGGAATAAAGTTGGAATTTTCGTGTAACAGAAGTTAAATTAACGTTTTAAATATCGGAAATGTAGCACTTTCTCCTTATCAAGCGCTTTCGAAAAGGCTTTTTGTTCGCACTTGCCATAACCTTACACTCATTTTATTACCTTCAAACCTTTCTTTGGTTTGTTTTTCTCCTGTGGCCTGTTGTGTTAGTCTTTTAAACATTTTATTTCCCCTTATATTAATTCCCTCATTCACAACTTACCTTTATTATCCCGCCAACTAAATTTTACACTCTTTTGTATTTACGCCATGAAAGTTACCAGACTTCAACTCGGTGTGTATTCTGTTCAAGGCAATCAACAACCTTTTTGTCTGTATTTATTCCCTTTGGTGGCTTCTTCTTCTCACGGGCAAGATATACCTTCAAGAGCAACTATTCATTCACCATTTTATCGATTAAGGGACATCGACGCTATTTTCTTTAATTCAGAAAATGATTATCTATCAAAATCGGGTCTAATTCCTCAAGCTTATATAGAAACACCTGGATATTGCTTCCATGAACGTTCTGGTGATATATTTTTAGCTGCCAGAGCTATAAGTGATACTGCTACTCGATTAGGAAATCTTCTCCTAGCGGAATTCGCAAAATTAGGAAAATCAGATATAATATCAGGTGTAGCTGATCGATATTTAAGAGAAGTTTCAATAGTTTTAGTAACTCATGAACCTCTTATAGAGGCTGAGTTTGAATTTTTCATCGCGGATTCGTCATCATCAAAATCTCCAATTACATATTCCCCTTCACAAATCCCACAAACTCAAAGTAGTCCAAAAAATGATACAAATTCTCCTCCTAGTTCATCTTCACAAGTTTCCGGAAGAAAGCGTATGTCCCTTGAAGAAGTTCTAGATAATGATAACGATAGGGAAAATGATCGAGTTTACGATCAAAAAATCACATCACAATCTGATTATACAACTTCACCTTTGGAATCTGAAAGGTTTTTCATTTTTCTTCTTTCATGTTAAATGGAGCGTTCATTATAGTTCATGTAAATATTCACTTTATTATAATATCTTGTTTTTTTCAGAGAATCTACAATGATAAAAAAGGAACAATCTCCTATTTATTCTGGGAGTGATCGTTCTCAAAATTCATCTCCAAATCACTCACCAAGATCTGCTCATTCACCAAGATCACCTCACTCTCCATCTGCACAGAATTCTTCTGGTGATATAATCATTGACCATGACGCTAGAATGAGAAAGAAAAGGCGTTTTGCTAATAATAGTATTACTCCTAATAATCCTGAAGTCATGGAACAAGTTAGAAATTCATTAAAATTAAAACAACAACAAAAAGCCATAATAGAAGCTAGACAATATCAAGCTCATATGTTACAGCAACAAAACTATTTTAATGATAGACAACATCCCATCACTAATTGTAATACTTCGACATCCAAATCAGTCTCTAATTCATCAAAAGCAATTTCTCAAAGTACTTTAGACTTAAATAGAACAATTTCTTCTATGTCCAAGCGACATTCCGGAAGCAAGAACAATCGTAATTCTAGGAATCTTAGCGTATTTGCTTCACCTTATACAGGCTACAATCATGGTCAAAGATCTGCTGGTATGCCTGTTTCTGCTCCCACATTAAAATCTTCACCAAGTAGACAAAGTGTATTTGGTTATCCATTGTCAGCAAATTCAGCTTTTCGACCTACACATTCTGCATCCTTTAATGCTAACATCAATGGCCTTATATCTCCTAATAATGTTGATGATAGTAGCCCAGCTGTTAGCCCGGGTATTAGTATCCGATCTAATCCTTCTAATCTCAACAGTCCTACATCTGCTTCCAATGAAGAGAAACCCTCAAAAGAATCATTCATTCATCTATTTGATAATTTCTACGATACAGTTTCTGATACACGTTCACTTAAGACTACCCTCGAAGATCAAATCCGTAAAACAACAACTTTGTTACAAACCCTCCAAGCATCTGGTGCCATGATTGAAAGTCTTGTTCGTGGGCATTTTCGTGAGATGCAAAGAGAAGTGATTAAAGATATGACAGCTTTAGAAAAAAGACTTTCAAAAATTGAAGAGCGTATGAATAATAATAATGCAACTATTATAGGAATGAGTCTCAGTCCACCTCATGATACAGACAGGAGACTTAGTGATATTAGTACAGTTAGTGATGAAATGGGTTATAAAAGTAATGGGAACACAACAAAATTTGCTCAAACTGACGGTAAAGATGGTTCATCACAATTTTTATCAGCGGGGCATCAACATTATAGCCCACCCTTGTCAGCTTCTTCTTCGCGTAATGAAGAGACACAACCTCAGGATTATCAAGATGTACTGCGTTCTTTGAAAGCTAGGCTAGAATCCTTAGAAAGACGCATGTCCATCCCATAAATAATTCCGTGTCGTCACGTCATCCGATTGCCTTATAAATCTGCATTCTCTTATAA